TCTCCAAGCTGTTTTTTATCATAAACTCTGGAACACTGTTGGTCCTTCTGTCTGTAATTTCATCAAACACTGCTTCAGTACTAAAAACATCCCTCAGGAGATCAATGAAGCCTTTATTGTCCTTATCCCCAAGCTCAAGAACCCCGAGTCCATTAAACAATTCAGACCAATAAGTCTGTGCAATGTCCTCTACAAAACCATCACAAAAATCATTGTCAACCGCATCAGACCTCTTCTCCCTGACCTCATCAGTCCCCACCAAAGCAGCTTCATTCCTGGTCGAACCACCACTGATAACATCATCATAACCCAAGAGATTATCCACACCCTTAGACACAAAAAAGGCACTAATGGTGGTATGGTTTTAAAAATTGATCTCGAAAAAGCTTATGATCGCATCTCTTGGAACTTTATTCTTCACACACTCAAGGAATTCAAACTTGAACCTGATTGGATTACTATTATTATGAGTTGTGTTTCTAATGTCAGTTCAGCTATTATTTGGAATGGGGAGACCCTACCAAACATCCCTGTGGGAAGGGGACTTAGACAAGGAGACCCCCTTTCCCCTTACCTCTTTGCTCTTTGTATGGAAAACTTGTCTAACATGATCAATCTTAAAACTGCTAGTGGTGACTGGACAGGCCTCAAAGCTTCCAAACACAGCACACCTATCTCCCATCTTTTCTTTGCAGATGATTTAATTCTTTTTGCCAAGGCCAATAGACATAATTGTGACTGTATCATGGAAGTTCTCTCCAAATTTTGTGAAATATCTGGACAAAAAATCAACTTTCAGAAGTCAAAAATATATGTCTTCCCCAACATCCCTAGAAGAGAAGCCCTTCCTCTGAGCTACCAATGCGGCATGACCTTAACTAACGATTTGGGCAAGTATCTTGGAACCCCCATTCTGCATGGCAGAATCACCAACCTTCACACCAAGGATATCATAGATAGGATGTCAAGCAAACTATCTGGATGGAAAACTAAGAACTTATCTCTTGCAGGTCGAACCACCCTTATCAAAGCTGTCACTTCTGCCATTCCTAACCATTTGATGCAGACTATGGAACTTCCCCGTAATATTTGCGATAAAATTGACAGACTCAATAGAAACTTCCTCTGGGGAAGCACTGAAAATGCTAAGAAAGTCCATCTAGTCAACTGGCAAAATGTCTACAAAAGTAAGAAACAAGGAGGACTAGGCATTAGGAAGGCTAGAGAACAAAATTCAGCCTTAATCTCTAAGCTGGGTTGGAAAGTTGCAAGTAATTCTACAGACCTGTGGTGTTCTATCCTCAAATCAAAGTACCTCACAAAGCACTCCCTGTCCAGTTGGCCAAACAAAAGACCAGCTTCTCACACATGGAAAAGTATCATAAAGAACAGACATGTGCTAGAGCAGAACATCAAATGGAGTGTAGGTAATGGAGCAAACATTTCACTCTGGAATGATTGGTGGTGTGGCTCTCATCCCCTTTGCCACAGCAGTCAAGGACCTCACATCAATACTACAACACGGGTCAGCTCCATCCTTAATGATGAAGGAGGCTGGGACCTCACACCAATACAAGACCTGATTTCCCAACAGGATAAGGACAATATCCTGAGCATATATAGACCCAGATTTGTAACCTTCATGGATACTCCTGTGAAAACCCATCTTTTAATTATTCTTTAAAGAAAATTTGTCTACAGTCTATCTGAATTATACATTAGTGTAAAAGTTAGTTTTAAATTGACTCAATTCAATCACTAACAAGACATTATTAAGAATAATAATTTTGTGGGTGTTCAATATTTGTTGTTTATAAATTATTTTAATTATGATAACTATTCTTACTAAATACCTTAGTTAAAAATCTTAGTGTGTCAATTTTCAGAAACCCACACACACAAAAAAAAAAAAAAAAAATACAAACAAACAAACCATGGGCAAACAACCTATAGTTCCTACCAAATCCACCATCTCTTAGAAATTAGGAAACCATGAAAATTAGAGAAAGTTTGCTCTTAGAAATTGGAGAAAGGGAATGGAATGTTTTTGAGAAAATAAAATAATGGAAAGAATGAGAGGGAGAGAGAGATGTCTTCAATATTTATATGCATGCAAGCCTTCCTTGTGCATGCAAGCATCCGGTGAGAAAAAAAAAAAAAAAAAAAAAGAAGAAGAAGAGAGACCTCCCCAAAGCCACCAAGCTTGGTTTTAGGAGAGGAAGAAGAGTAGGAGATTAAAGAAGCCAAAATTCTCAACCATTTTGTCACTCTATTACTAGAAAGAGAGAATTTTTTTTTTTTGGTGTGAAGGTGTGGTCTGAAATTGTGTTGAGAATAATCTGTTTTGAATCTGTCATCATGTTACCCGAATTTTTAGACACATTTATGCTTAGAATTTTGAGATTATTTCTTCTACAAAGTTGTTTATAATGATGTCTAGTTTATCCAAAAAATTTTGAAAATAATTTTTGAGCTTTCTACGAATTTATACAAATTTTTAACTAAATCTGAAACTGTGTTGAGAAATCTGAATCTGCCAGCATGTTACCCGAATTTTTAGACAATTTTATACTCAGAATTTCGAGATGATTTCTTCTACAAAGTTGTTGATAATGATGTCTAGTTTATCCAGAAATTTTTGGAAATAATGTTTTAGCTTTCTACGAATTTATACAAATTTTTAACTAAATCTGAAACTGTGTTGAGAAATCTGTCTTGAATCTGCCCGCATGTTACCCGAATTTTTAGACAATTTTATACTCAGAATTTCGAGATGATTTATTCTACAAAATTGTTGATAATGATGTCTAGTTTATCCAGAAATTTTTGGAAACAATTTTCGAGCTTTCTACGAATTTATACAAATTTCTAACTAAATCTGAAACTGTGAGACAGATTTTACCATGTATTTGAAAATTTATTTAAAATTCTATACTAAGCCAAATCTGGTAATTTCTAACTAGAAGATGAAATTTGAGAAGTCTAGTTTCATAATAAATTTTTAGATTATGGGTTTGATCTATAAATTTAAGCATAGAATTAATGTAAGGAAATGTGACAAATCTGTGTCATAAACATCCTTGGAATTTGTTTAGAATTATTTATAAGTTTTTTTTGGAAAAAGCTTTTTGAAAAATAACCATAACATGTTTATTGAGTATCCTGTAGATTGATATGAATTTTAGAGTTGTATAAGTAATGTATTTATAATTTTAATTGCAAGATATATACTCTGAAAATTTTTCTGGACAGAATAAAATCACCACTTTAATATTATGCTAGTCTAATTTTGTAAATCAAAAATTTGTGCATGTGTGTATTTAGGGTTTAATTCTTGTATCTAAGTTATTATTCCATACCATGGTTTAAATAAATTGTTTATTTAAATTCTGTACTTTTATTTAGTATTGTGTGACACATGCAATATTTTATGATTGGGAATTTTAATGAGTTGTATAACATTACTTGTGATTAAAAATTTGGAGTTATTTGTGATTAATATCAAAATTAACTGAAATGATTAACGACATATACAAAGTTAACAATTGACGGTTAATACCAGTTGTTCGGAGTGAGTCTTGGTTTAAAGACTATACGGAATTAAGAGTTGAAGGTTAACACCGTTTGTCAGAATAAAATCCTGTTATCCCTTGTATTAGGATTTAACTATGTTGTGACGTTGTGTGTGAACTTGTAATTTTAGTTTGTCGTTGGACTTTGGCTTTGTAAGAACTTAAAAGTTCCTAATTAGTAGTTAAAACTTTATCTAGCAAGTTATTGTTATTTAAATCTTAAGACGTTTCAAAAAAAAATTTGGGGCGTCACAACTCCTTTATGGCAGGGCTCTCCTACTGGTAACCACTCCACCTCAGCTGCTTACAAGGCTATCTCTGAACAAGACGAAAATGGGCAAGATTGGCAATGGATTTGGAAAATTAAAGCCCCCCAAAGACTGAAAAGTTTTCTCTGGTTGGTAATGCATGGCAGACTATTAACAAACCAAATGCGGCTCATCAGGAACCTTTCTGATTCAGATATTTGCCCCAGATGCATGGCAGCAAGGGAAGACATGGACCACCTACTTAGAGGATGCTCCAAAGCAAAAACCATTTGGATAATGCTTAAAGGCATTAACTGGTGGCACTGTAGTAATAACAAAACACTAGCAGATTGGATCAAAACCAATATGAAAATCAAGGACCAGCTGGCAGAAATAAAATGGCCTCTCATATTCTTGACAGCTCTTTGGACCATTAGGAAGGAAAGGAATAAAACAGTGTTTGATAACCTTACTTTCCCCCCTCACATCACCACCTGTTCCATCCTTAAGCAGGCCCAAGAAACTCAAACAGCCTTTAATAACATACTCAACCCAAACTACTTGGAGACTAGACTAACTACTTGGTTTCTTCCTCCTGCAGGTAAACTCAAGTTGAATACCGATGGATGTTCCAAGGGTGATCCCGGGCAATCAGGTTACGGAGGACTGCTTAGAGATGAAGCTGGCAGCTGGATATGGGAGTATTATGGCTACTTGGGCAACTGCACCAGCCTTGAAGCTGAGTTATGGGGATTATATAAAGGACTCACCATTATCATGCAAAAGGGGCTCAATGATATACAAATCGAAAACTGCTTTGAAGCTAATCAGCAATGGAGCGGAAGGAACCCATCCCTACAGAGCACTAATTGAAGATGGAAACTTTATTCTGAGGAGATGCAGATGCACCATTCAGTATGTTCCAAGATATGCCAATCAAAGTGCTGATGCTTTAGCTAACATTGGAGTTAACCAGAAAGAACATCTAATCTTTCTTGAGGAGCCCCCAAACAGTGTATCTTCCTTTCTTGTAGCAGACTTAATGTCTGCAAATTTGATGGGGGCCTAGCCTTTTGCCCTCC